GACTGTAGCTCAGTGGCAGAGCCTCTGCTTGGCATTCAGAAGGTCCCAGGTTCAGTCCCTGGCATCTCATTAAAACGACCAGGCAGGAGGGGATGGGAAAGACCTCCGCCTGAGACCCTGGAGGGCCATGAAGTGGGGCTGTGGCTCAGTGGAAGAGCCTGTGCTTGGCATGCAGAAGGTCCCAGGTTCAGTCCCTGGCATCTCATTAAAACGACCAGGCAGGAGGGGATGGGAAAGACCTCCGCCTGAGACCCTGGAGGGCCATGAAGTGGGGCTGTGGCTCAGTGGAAGAGCCTGTGCTTGGCATGCAGAAGGTCCCAGGTTCAGTCCCTGGCATCTCATTAAAACGACCAGGCAGGAGGGGATGGGAAAGACCTCCGCCTGAGACCCTGGAGGGCCATGAAGTGGGGCTGTGGCTCAGTGGAAGAGCCTGTGCTTGGCATGCAGAAGGTCCCAGGTTCAGTCCCTGGCATCTCATTAAAACGACCAGGCAGGAGGGGATGGGAAAGACCTCCGCCTGAGACCCTGGAGGGCCATGAAGTGGGGCTGTGGCTCAGTGGAAGAGCCTGTGCTTGGCATGCAGAAGGTCCCAGGTTCAGTTCCCGGCAATGTTCCCTCTACTTTGTGAGCTACTGGCATTAAGGTTGTGAGCGAGCAATTTGGTTACTGCATAAATTAGTTTGCTCTGAAGCCCTCCTTCCTGAGCTAAGACAAAAATCTGTGAGCCGGAGGCTAAAAAACTGTGAGCTGGCTCACACTAACTCAGCTTAGAGGGAACAGTGGTTCCCAGCATCTCCAGTTGAAAGGACCAGGCAGGAGGTGATGGGAAAGACCTCTGCCTGAGACCCTGGAGAGCCACTGCCAGTCTGAGTAGACATTGATGGACCAAGGTTCTGATTCAGTATAAGCCGGCTTCATGTGTATTCATCAAGATGGCTGGCCGTGTTAGTCTGTCTGTAGCAGCAGACAAGAGCAAGAGTCCAGGAGCGCCTCAAAGACTAACACAATTTGTGGCAGGACATGACCTTTTGTGAGCCACTGCTCACTTCTTCTAGATGGGTGGCCGTGTTAGTCTACCTGTAGCAGCAGAAAAAACCAAGAGTCCAGGAGCACCTGAAGGACTAACAGAATTTGTGGCAGGGGAGGAGCTTTCGTGAGTCACCGCCCACTTCTTCGGATCTGAAGAAATGAGCAACAATGCTCCCTCTAAACTGTGGAGTCTTGTGAGCAAAAATCCTACTTGGCGAGCTACCTGCACTAAAGTTGCGAGCCGGCAATTTGGCTACTGCATAAATTAGTTTGCTCTGGAGCCCACCTTCTTGAGCGGAGACAAAAATGTGTGAGCCGGAGGCTAAAAAACTGTGAGCTGGCTCACACTGACTCAGCTTAGAGGGAACACCGGCAGTGACTCACGGAAGCTCATGTGTATTAGAACCCTGCTGACGTCCCTCCCCGCACAAAGCCCCACCCTCTCCAGGCTGCACCCCTAAAATCTCCAGGGATTTCCCAACCTGGAATTGGCAACTCTACCCGTTTGTTTGTTTTTTTAAAATTCTTATTTGTCCTACATTATACAATCAACAGTGCAAAAGACATTAGTTGCTGTAGATTTTCGAGTTTTGTGGCCGTGGTCTTGGCATCGTAGGACCTGATGTTTCGCCAGTAACTGTGACTGGCATCCTCAGAGGTATAACACAGAAAGATGGAGTACTCTGTGAGAAGAAAAATAGTAGGCAGGTACCGGTAATTTATATCTACTCAGGAAGGTGGGGTAGGGCTGAGTCATTATCTTGTAGGAGTTCCCCACAGGCTGTGAACATGCTAATGGAGGAGCTTTCCTGAGGAGGTTCTTTTGTATATGGATTGTTTCCTGAGGAGGTTTCCTGTTTCCTGAGGAGGTTCTTTTGTATGTGGATCAGCTGTTGAGATTCTAATCTTATCTGTAGTGCTATTGTCAGATGGGGCTCTCTACATGGGGCTGCCTTTGTCGCAAATTCGGAAGCTGCAACTAGTGCAGAATGCTGCAGCCAGGCTGTTGATGGATCTTCCTAGACGAGATCACATCCAGCCTGTGCTGAAAGCGCTGCACTGGTTGCCAATAGCGTACCGGGTTCGCTTCAAAGTGCTGGTTATCACCTTTAAAGCCCTATATGGCCAGGGACCAGCCTACCTAAGGGACCGCCTTACCCCACATGTTCCCCCAAGGGCACTACGGTCGGGGAGCCGGAGCCTATTGGAGGTACCGGGCCCCCGGTCCATCAAGTTGACTATGACCAAGAACAGGGCGTTTTCGGTGGCGGCTCCTATCTGGTGGAATGAGCTCCCAGAGGAGATCAGGGCTCTGTGGGACCTAGCACAGTTCTGCAGAGCCTGTAGATCTGTTTTAGATAGGTTATACACCATGATGTAATTTTAATATTTTGTATTTTTTCTACTGTTTTACTGTTTTATTAATTATATGTTGTTAGCCGCCCTGAGCCTCCGGGGAGGGCGGGGTATAAATACAAATAATAAATAAATAAATAAATAAATATAAATAAATATAAATGTAGAGCCTTTTGTGTGCCGTGTGTGACAGGACGGCTGGGAGACCACGTGGAGGCTTAATGCTCATGCGCATTTGTTGCATGCGCTCAACAGATGCATTGCCCTCCCCAGAGATCTCCCACCCGAGGAACCCTCCGTGCCTTGTTAGCGTTTGTTTTGTCAGTTGCTAAAGCTGCCGGCTCAGAATCCATCTCCCTCTTAGCCTCTCACGCCTGCAAGATTTATTCCCGCATTCCCAAGGGGCCGAAAAAAACAATCAATTTAATTAATTGCAAACAGAGATATGGGAGTTTCCTGGGACAAGACCCAGAAGGCAGGGACCGGTGTCTGGTTTACTGAGAAATCCCAGTGATGGAAATACGTCATCCAAATAACCAGTCCGCTTATATAATTCCAAGTGCTGCTTTTCCAGTTGCGCAATTCGGGGCGTGTGTTTTTCCTGAACTGGTTTCGCAATGTTTGGGTCTTTTCCATGTTTGGGGGGAAGAGAAATGGGTCAGCGACGCGTTAACCTCTTCCTACCTGGGCAAAGTGTCTCCCAAACAGGTCCTCGGACTCCCCACAACGCTGAAAAAATAGCCGCCAGAAACAGGGAGCCAAGTTCTCTAATGCAAAATGCAGCTCTCTCTCTCTCCTCACATCTCACTGCTGTTTAGACCTAGAACTTCGTTCTAGAAAACCTGCACGGCACAACCTCCGTCTCTCCCTCCCTCCCTTCAAGTCTCACCTTTTCCGTGGAATCACGCCTCCGTTGCCAGCATTTCTCAAACTCCTTGAACTCGCTCCCGGGTCTACCTTGATGCCCTGGCCCACAGACCAGCACCAGTCGCTGAACATGTGGCTATTGTTCTATGCAGGGCTATTTTTGGGCAGGAACGCACAGGAACGGAGTTCCGGCTGGCTCCGGAGTTGGCCACGCCCAGCAGGAACTCATTAGCATAACAGGCCACACCCAACAGCAGGAACTCATTAGGATTGGCTACGTTAGGGGTGTGTGGCCTAACATGCAAAGGAGTCCCTGCTACACAAAAAAAGGCCCTGGGTTTTGACAACAAGGTAAACAGAATAAGAAGCAAAAGGTGGGTGTGGCTGGATGACCACACTTCTGGCAACATGGGGGTGTGGCCTAATATGCGAATGAGCTGTGTCATCGGGGGTGTGGCCTAATATGCTAATGAGTTTCTGCTGTTGGGTGTGGCCTATTATGCTAATGAGTTCCTGCTGGGCTTTTTCTACAAAAAGAGCCCTGGTTATATGTGCATACACGCACCCTGCGTGCTGTACATGAATCGACGTACTCATCCGGAAATGGTGTCAGAAGTGGAGCTGAACTGGGCCTCTTTGACAATCGCCTAAGAGAGAGCCACCATTGTGCAGACTAGGAACTAGGGGACTCCGGGTTCAAATCCCTGTCCCTCCATGGGAGCTTGCTGGGTGACCTTGGGCCAGTCTCGCAGACGCCCTGAGCCTCACCGTCTCCCGTTCAGAGGCCCTGCTCCGGTTGCTCCTGGCCATCTGAGGTAGGGTTGCCAGCCTCCAGGTGGGGCCTGGAGATCTCCCGCTTTTACCACTAATCTCCCGCTGACAGCGATCAGCTCCCCTGGAGAAAATGGCTGCTTCGAAGGGTGGACTCTGTGGCCTTGTACCAGGCTGAGGCACCTCCCCTCCCCAAACCCCGCCCTCTCCTGGCTCCAGGGGTCGTTTCGTAGAAAAAGAGCGAGGGGAACTCATTAGCATAACTCATTAGCATATGCCACACCCCTGACATCACCGGAAGTGTGTCATAAGGCCACACACCCCGTCCCCAACTGTCCCGGCCGCCGCCGCCACCGCTGGCCTTGCAGCTCCACTGCCGAGCCCCATGAGGGGCCCGGCGGTGGACCTGCAAGGCCGGCGGGAGTGCAAGGAAGCCCCGCGAAGGCCCTCCCTGGCCCCAGGCAGGCAGGGGTGGGGAGAGGCAGGGAGGAAGCAATTTACCCTCCCTCTTCTCCTGCCTCCTCCTGGCTGAATGAGGGCCGGAAGCGGGGCGGCCGGAAGCAGGGGGCGGGGCTTCGTCATGTGCCCCGCCCCCCGTACCTCACCCGGGGGAACTGCGATCCCCCCCGAAATGACCTCTGCCTGGCTCCACCCCCAAAGTCTCCAGGTATTTCCCAACCCTAATATGAGGCTGGGCAGTTGGCAATCCGAGGAAGGGCTTTCTCGGTCGTGGCACAAAGCAGCCATTTTTCTCCAGGTGAACTGAGCTCTGTCACCTGGAAATCTCCTACTCTCTCCAGCCACCACCTGGAGGTTGGCAACCCTTCCTGCAGGGACCAATCCGGGGTCCGCTCTTTCAGGAAGCCATTAAAGCTGCCCGGATTCCTACTCCGCTGATGACAATTCCCACTTGGTCATGTCCCCGTCCACAGACTTCTCTACCGTCCGCAGACATGCCGGTTGCCGAGGTAACGTACCTTCCCCAAGGGTTTTCCCCAGTGCCACCTTGTGGCGGTCGATCATCACGTCTCGCAGTTTCTCCTTCAGCTCCTCGCTAATCCCCAGGCTGTTCACTGTAGGGAGAAAAGGAGGTTAAGGAACGCGCATACACACTCTGCGCCAGAAGCGGAGGCCAAACTCGAGAGGTCTTGTCTCTGGCACGAAGAGGGGTGTGAGGTTTGGACAGGAAAGCAGGTCTGTTGGAGAAGTGTGGGAATATCCAGCGTCGAAGCCCTTCGGGTCGGGCTGCCAGGTCGGCTAACCTGGCCAGTGGGGGTCTCCCGACATCCCTCTGGGAGACCGGAAGTGATGTTGGGCATTTTCAGGCCTACTTCCGGTTTCGGGCCTACTTCTGGTCAGGGATGACAGTCTGGTTTTGGGGCAAAACTCTATGGTAAATTCGGCTTCAAACAATAGAGTTTTGCTCAAAAACCAGAGCATCGCCACCAACCAGAACTGGAAGTAGGCCCAAAACTGGAAGTAGGCCCAAAAAGGTTGGTTGGGGGCGGGACTTCCCCCCGCCGACCAGCTGGCCGGTGACGGGCAACAGCCTGCAAAAGCGGGGGTTCCCCTGCTTCCACCGAGGGGCTTGCAACCCTATCTTCGGGACCTAAACAAGGGTAGCTCAGCTTTAACGATGGGAAGCTCAGGAACCGGTAGGTCAACAAGGAAGCGCTGACCATCCCGGACTGTCTTCCAACCTCATCTTCTGACTGGCTCGAAGCTCTAACTGAATTGTTTCAGGCCAGGTCAACTCAAATCTCAGACAGTCCTATGTTGACCCATAAACTGGACCCTCTCGAAGATCGAAAGGTCCTCCTGACCCTTGGCTTCTTCTTCTCCAAGCTGTACCACCTCCCTGAAATGTGACCCCAGCTTCCACTACCAATGGAATAAGTCTTGCTCGCAGGGCTCTTTTTGTAGCAGGAACTCCTTTGCATAATAGGGGACACACCCCTAATGTAGCCAATCCTCCAAGAGCTTGCAGAGCTCTTCTCACGGGGCTACTGTAAGCTCTTGGAGGATTGGCTACATTAGGGGTGTGTCGCCTAATATGCAAAGGAGTTCCTGCTACAAAAAGAGCCTAATAGCGTGCATTCCTGGTGGTCCCACGTAGCTACTACCTCTCAGAATTCCACTGAGGCCTTGCCCTATTAAACAGAGCTTCTGCCTTAAATGTTGAATTGTTACTATTAGAGTTCCATATGCATTGATATTTTGTGGTCTTCCTGTGGGAGCCATTTTGTCTGGCCGCAGCGCCTTTTGTGGCAGCCATTTTGTGACTGCGCCCACCGTCCTGCGTCAGAATTCCAAAGGTGCCCGCGGGCTCAGAAGGTTCAGGAACCCCTAGGCTACAGGAACCCCGAATAGTGGGGGAAGAGGGACCCCATTCTGTGCCAGACACTCACAGGTGGCTTCGGTGGTTCGGCGACTATACGATTTGCGGACCCGGTAGTGGACCACCAGTTCTCCCTGCTCCATGCTGGGTTCAAACGCTTCCCTGCAGGACGGGAGAAGATGGATGGGGTGAAGCAATGGAAAAAGCAGGGCTATTTTGGGGAAGGAACGCACAGGAACTGAGTTCCGGCTGGCTCCCGAGTTGGCCACGCCCAGCAGGAGCTCATTAGCATAACAGGCCACACCCAACAGCAGAAACTCATTGGAATTGGCTACATTAGGGGTGTGTGGCCTAACATGCAAAGGAGTTCCTGCTACAAAAAAACCCCTGGGTTTTGACAACAAACAAGGTAAACAGAATAAGAAGCAAAAGGTGGGTGTGGCTGGATGACCACACTTCTGGTAACATGGGGGTGCGTCCTAATGTGCTAATGAGCTGTGCTGGCAGGGGTGTGGCCTAATATGCTAATGAGTGCCTGCTGCTGGGTGTGGCCTATTATGCTAATGAGTTCCTGCTGGGCTTTTTCTACAAAAAAAGCCCTGGGAAAAAGAAAAAGGTCCAATCTTAGATTCACGGCCAGAAACAAGCGGCCGATCCCCACGTCCGCCCTCGAAGGGCCCATCCCGGGTCCCGATTCCCTCGGTTCTCCACTTACCCATAGCGCGTTTCCTTCTTCCTTATCCGTGTCAAGAAGATTATGATGAAGGCGGCGGCCGCAGCAGCCACTGCCACAGCAATCGCCACGTACCACCAGTGCCAGGAGAAGGCAGGGGTAGCGTTTTCTACTGTGAAGCAGAGCGGCAGGGGTTACTGGCTAAGGCCCTTCCAATTCCCCCACCCTGTTCATTCGGAGCTTCCCTTCCCGTTCCCAACACTTGCTTATATTACAAAGAGACACGGAAGGGACAGACTCTAATGACCCGGTTTGGAATCAAACATATCTAGGGGAGAAAAGTGGGAGAGTTCCTGGCCTAGTGTCCTGAATTCAGTGTTCCCTCTAAGCTGAGTTAGTGTGAGCTAGCTCACAGTTCTTTAGCCTCCGGCTCACAGGTTTTTGCCTTAGCTCGGGAAGGAGGGCTCCAGAGCCAGCTAGTTGATGCAGTCGCCAAACGGCTCGCTCACAACTTTAATGCCAGGAGCTCACAAAGCGGAATTTTTGCTCACAAGGTTCTGCAGCTTAGAGGGAACATTGGTCCTGATTCACCGAGGGTTGCCACCTCCTGGCTGTGAATTGCCTGGAGGTCTGGGTGTACAGCCTGGGAGGGAGGGGTCTGGGGTGGGGAAAGACCTCAGCAGAGTATAATGCCATACAGTCCACCCTCCAAAGCAGCCATGTTCTCAAGGGGGTCTGACCTCGGTCATCTGGAGATCGGTTCCAATTCTGGCAGATCTCCGGGTCCCACCTGGAGGTTGGGAACCCTCCATTCATCTCAACGATCGACATTTCCTGCTTCTCCTCCAGGTTCCTACTTCTAAAACCACTCTCTCTCCTTTCACAATTTTAATCCAGTTCACTGACTCTTGTTCCAGAGGGTAGCCACGTACAAGAGCTCAATTCGAGTCCAGTAGCATCTCAAGAGGCCATTTTTTAAGGTATGAGCTTTGAGCATCAAGGCTTTCTTGATGAATCTGACGAAGGGAGCTTTGACTCTTGAAGGCTCATGCCCTGAAAATCTTTAAGGGGCCTACTGGATTCGAATCCAGCTCTTCCACCGCTTTTTGTGAATCTCTCTCTTCTTCTCCTTCCCAAGGCAGCCATTTTGAATAGGAAGGGACACGTCCGTGTCAAAGTTGGGTCAGGCGTACTAGGATGGAAGCCTTCTAGAACAGGGACAGCTCTCGTTCTCAACAGGTATTCGAGACCCTCCCAGTGGGGGCGGGAGTCTTCCTTTACCAGGCCCCGCCTCTCCGTTGCTGGCCAGATGGCCAGCAGGGGGAATTAACCCCCCCCAAAAAAGAGAAGAACACCAGAAATTAATCCAACATGCCTACATGATCTAGAAGTGACATAGGCATGTCGGGGGGGCACACTCTGGTTTTTGAGCACAACTCTATGGTAGAAGCTAATTCTACCATAGAGTTTTGACCAAAAACCAGAGTGTCATTCCCCCCTGACCGATGTGCCCTCTAAGCTGTGGGTTCTTGTGAGCAAAAATTCTACTTGGTGAGCTACTGGCATTAAAGTTGCGAGCGAGCGATTTGGCTGCTGCATGAATGAGTTGGCCCTGGAGCCCTCCTTCCTGAGCTATGACAAAAATGTGTGAGCCGGAGGCTAAAAAACTGTGAGCTAGCTCACGCTAACTCAGCTTAGAGGGAACCCTGCCCATGATGTGGGTATCTTTTCTTTATCCCTTAATGTAGTCCCCTTCCCTATTTCTGTTGTAGTTTGTAGTCTTTATAAAAATGCAATAAAAAAATCCCCTCCGGGGGGCCAAAAAAAATAATGATGTACCCGATGTGCTGATGTCAATTCTAGGTCCTGTAGGCACGTTGTGTTCATTTCCAGTATTCTTCCTTGCTCCCGGTAGGTGTACCCCCCATCCCCGTCGGATGCTCTGAGGGACCTGGCAACCCCGTTCTCACCCCTACCCCGAACTCCCCGTCAATTTTTGATGGCCGCTGAACAGAGTGCCGCGCGTTGCCTCTCACCTGGCTGAGCCTGCGGTGAAAATTCATCTGCAAAAGAAAATCCAGTAAATAGGTTATTTTCAATAGACGCTCCATGTCAGATCAGGCATCTACAAACTGGACCGCGCTTAGAAGCAGGCAAATTTCCAGACACAAGGAAATGAATCAGATCTCCAAAGCTGGTTGTAATCAGGAACAACAGGTCCTGTTTGGGAACCGGCTTCTATAACCCCGCAAGGCTCCACAAAGTGGACCAGAATTTGAAATTGAGGGATTTGACATTCAGAACCAGATCCGAGGCCCGGAACTGCCAAGCCTCCCAACCAGCGGGGAGGTGGGGCCACAACCAGAGATCAAAAGAACCACTTTTGGAAAAAGCAGATTTGGACCAAGACTGATGGCACCAGTAAGGCATATTTTTAAAATATAGCTCAATTTGAGTCACCGACTATCCTCTCACATCTGTCCGCTATCCTGAAAAAGATGTGATGGAATCAACGCTCGGTTAACAGCTTCCAAATGTCCTAAACTCTTTGGATCTCTTTCTAACAGCAGCTCTTGATCTTTGGTTTTGGGTCCTGTCCCAACGGATATTGCAATCCTTTGAAACGTCTGAGGATTATCAACATAAACTCCCCTTCATTATCTCTCCTGAAACTCTCTCTTGTATGACTGTCCTCCAAGCCCTAACAAGGGTTTCTCCCGGACGGCCCCTCTGCCGGGTTATTCTTTCACACTGTAGAGAAGCTGGCCAAAACAGCTCACTTACCGAAACCCAATGGGGCAACCATGACAGCGTGACTCCAGGGCCCGTCGCCTGCCCCTGTGTAGGCTGCAACTCGTACAGTCAGGTTCCTCACGGACGAGTTCCACTCCAAGATTCTCTCGTGGGTCAGTCCCACATCCATAACCACCTGGTGGAAGAGGGGAGCTTAATTCCAGGTAGGAGAGGACTGGCCATCTAACTTACAGGGAAATTTCTGGTGGGGCGTCTGCCCTAGTAATGCCTTAGGGCAGGGGTGTCAAACATGATGTTCGGGGGCCAGATCAGGCCCCCAGAGGGCTTCTATCAGGCCCGCAGTGGAACTGGCTGTCTCCTGCTTCTTCTTCCAGTTCTGCTGCTCCTGCATCATTGTAGGTTTGCGGCTTACAGATACACACCTGAACAGCATACTCAAGATTGCAACAGCACAGACATTTTGATGTAATAATTCAGAGCAAGAGGTGTCAGTTATTAGACACTGTTCAATAAACAAAATATTGCAAGAGTGCTAATATTTTAAGCATGTTTTTATTTTAAGTAAAAAAAAAACCTTTGTGTTTTGTGTCCTTTATAAAGTTTATCTCTCCGCTACCTGGCATTACATTTTATGATGCACATGGCCCGGCCCAACAAGGTCTCATTTATGTCAGATCCGGCTCTGATAACAAACGAGTTTGACACCCTTGCCTTAGGGGTCTCCGATCTTAGTTTACTCCAGTGTTGTTTTCACTTCCCCATCCACTCCTCAGATTGAGCATGATAGTATTATTATGATTAAAATGTATTTAAAGCAGGGGTCCCCAACAATGTTCCCACTAAGCTGTGGAGTCTTGTGAGCAAAAATCTTTGTGAGCGATTTAGCTATTGCACAAATTAGTTTGCTCTAGAGCCATCCTTCCTGAGCTAAGACAAAAAAAGTGTGAGCCGGAGGGAACTCAGCTTAGAGGGAACACTGGTCCCCAGCCTTTTCCAGCCTGCGAGCACCTTCGGGGATCTGACCCCGGATGTTGGGCGCGACCACAAAATGGCTGCCACAAGAGGAGGGGCCAACTACAAAATGGCTGCCACAAGAGGCGGAGTGAGGTCATGCGTAACTCTAATAGTCACTCTTCATCCTTCCAGGCAGAAGCCTTTTAGAACGAACGTATCGTTTAAAAATATTTTCTTGCATACAGCCTTGTCTTCCGTCATACCGTGAAGATCCTTGTGCTGTGGTGGCAGCTGCTGCCAAAGCAGTTAAAAAGAAAATCTCCACAGCCAGATCTCCAGCGGCCAATCAAAAAGCCCTACCTGGACTCGCCCACTTTCTCAAAACACTTGGCGGGCACCAGGATAGGTTTCTGCGGGTGCCACGGCGCCCACGAGCATCACATTGGGGAACCCCGATTTAAAACGCTCGTATCCCATGCTTTCCCTCCAAATTCACAGACCGTCAGGGAGGGTTACGATAAAGAAAGCAGCCAGCCAGTGCCCGGAAGTGGCACAGGCCTGCTGGGAATGAAACCCTTTCCCCAGTAAAGAGCGCTCACCTCGGGCAAGTCGCCTTTCTGACAGATGAGCTTGTACCCGCGCAGGATCCCATTGACGTTGCCGAGCGGCTCCCCCCACTGGACGATGGTGCAGGTGCCGTTCTGAAAGGCCGTGATGTTCTCCGGGGCAGCTGTTGGCACTGTGGAGGACAGGATGCGTCGTCAGGGGCACCCCCACTGTTCAGTTCACTGGCTCATGATTAGATTACAAAAGATGTGAACTGCACCACTTATTCAGCCTGACTGACTGTAAGTAAGGACATCTTCTGAATGCATATGGAATGTAATAAAAAGTGATTTAATTCTACTTTGCTCTGGCCGTGCGTTGTATCACGTCCAGAAGGCGCTGTTGACTTCTGACTTAGCGCCAGGGGTCATTTGGGGGGGATGCGGGGGGACGCCATCCTCCCGGGTGAGGTGCGGGAGGGCGGGGCCTGGAGCTCCCTCCTGGTGCCCGCTGGAGGTCGCCGCCGGCTGTGGGGAGGACACACTTCCGGTGATGTCAGGGGGTGTGGCATATGCTAATGAGTTATGCTAATGAGTCCCCCTAGCTCTTTTTCTACGAAATGACCCCTGCTTAGCGCTAGACGGAACAGTGAAAAGGATTGCGCGTTCCCACCTCCTTGCCGTTTAAAGAGAAACAAAGGCCACGGGAAGAGAGCTGTAAACTCGAATCCTCGCGCCTCTGTGTGCCGGAAATGACTGTTGATCAGCCAGGCACAGGGATGCTCCGGGATGTCTAACTAAAGACTTCAATTCCCAGGGACCACTGCTCTTAAAGATATATGGCAGTTCTACTTAACTACAGTTAAACGCTGGCTGGGGCAGCACGCCTACCCCCGGGTGCGTGGGAGATGGCACCGTTCCCCAGAATGCACATGGATGTCCGTCCTCTACTCTCAGGTTTGCATAATGCATTTGGTGAAGTATGAACTGCACTTCTTTACTCTCCCTGTTATGCGATGGAGCTGACTGAGTGGTTAAGGACAGGACGTATGAACGAGACACCCCCAATTTACAGCTCTGCTCAGCCCCAAGGGTCACTGAATAGCCCCGGCCGATTTTCAACATCTCTGACTGTGGATCCCGACTTTGCCACATAGCTTACACCTATGCCGAAATATTGGGCCACACTTCATCTCCCTCACTTCCTGACTCCCTGCCCTATATCGGCTGAACGAGACACAACATGGAGGATCCACAACAGGATCTTCCCGGCACCTTAAAAAAAGGAAACTTTCCAGGGTTAACAACCGCAGAGGGTGTTTTCAAACGCAACAGTGCAAGGAGGCAGCGGTAATCCTTGCTCCTCCTCCACCACGGCTCCCCATTTGAATCGGGACCTTCATGCTGCCGCGATTTCCTTTTTTTGAAAACGCTGATCAAGCCTTAGACCTCCTGTGACCCTTACGGGAACCTGAGGATCAGCTTCTTTCTCTCCCCAGAGACAAGAACAGAACCAGGAGGTCACAAAGTTGCGGCGCAGAAGTCAGAGAGTCAAACGAGGATCTTGAAGACCCGGGTTCGAGTTCCCGTTCGGTCATGAAGCTCGCTTGGGGGTAGCCGTGCTCCTTCCACCTACCCTACCTCAAAGGGTTGCCGTTGTTGTCGTGAGGACAGAATAGAGAAGGGGGAGAAATCCTGAGCTCCTCAGAGGAAGTTTAAAAAAAAATGCAGACAGACAGAGAGACAGATCCTCACCTCCTTCCAGAGTCTCCATGGCAACCCAGTGCGTCCACGGAGAGTTGCCCTCTCTGGATCGACAGGACACGCGCACGTGGTAGGGGGTGAAGGGGGTCAGCCCGACCAGAGAGTGGCTGAAGGGGGGCACGTTGAGGTTCTGGTTATAGAGTGCCCTCTCTGAGACGGTGCTGAGGTCCTCGTCCGAGCGCACAGCCTGAGGAAGGAGATAGCAGAGAGAAACAGAGGGCAGTTGTGTGGCGGGGAAGAGGTCTGGAATCCTCAGAACGAATGTTCGCAGAATTCGGGGCTGGAACACAAGGGCCTCTCGCATTTCCCCCAACTTTGCTCCCGCGTGAAAAAGCTTGCTGCATGTTGTGAGCTAGCACACCAGGGTTACAAAACATCACCCCGGTGTGCTAGCTTGCTCCCTGTGAAGACATTTCCCCCCTACAGAAGCTAAGCAGGGTCAGCCCTAGTTCGTTCTTGGATGGGAGACCGCCTCCACCACATATGATAAAATGAGCCCTCATGCCTCTTACATTTCCAGCATTTGTTTGACATATTTTGATTCATATTTGCAATCTTCTTAGGTGTCATGTACCACCTATACATCATCTTATAACAATTTTCTTTAACATTAGTACATGTCGAGATCTTAATAGAGTTTTTCCACAAATATTCCCAAGTTTCCATATCTACTTCCTTATTCATATTAATAGCCCATTTTAACATTTGTTCTTTAACAGTTTCATCTTCAGTATACCATTTTAACAACACCTTATACATTTTAGAAATATTTTTTCCTCCTCCACTCTCCCATACCTTTTCAATTTCATTTTTTTCCTCTCTAAAACCATAGTTTTTTTTGTCAGATCTAAAAAGATCATAAATCTGCATATATTTCAACCACTCATATTCATATTCAATTTCATTCTGCTTTTTCATTACCCACTCTGTTCCCTCTTTTTTAATTAAATCTCTATATGGCAACCAGTCTCTACCTCGCTGTCTTGAGTAAGATATCAACACTTCTACTGGTACAATCCACAATGGTCTTAAGTCACTCTGGTACTTCTTATATCTTGTCCATACCATATACAAAGCTTTTCTCACCAAGTGAAGTTTAAAAAAACTGTCCATTTTTATCTTGTCATACCATAAATATGCATGCCAGCCAAATCTACAATCATGCCCTTCCAACCCCAACAATCTGTCATTTTCAAGCTTCACCCATTGATCCATCCATGTTAGACAAACCGCTTCATAATATAGTCTAAGATTTGGCATTTGTAGACCTCCTCTTTCTTTGGCATCACAAAGTATTTTCATTTTGATCCTTGGTTTCTTGCCTGCCCAAACAAATTTTGACAACTCTTGTTGCCACTTGGCCAACAAATCCGTTTTATGCAGAATTGGTATTGTTTGGAACAGGAACATCAAACGTGGTAGGACATTCATTTTTATAACTGATATTCTTCCCATCAGTGATAAGTTCATTTTATCCCATTTCTTAAAATCTTGAGTCAGCTTAGTCCATAATTTCTCATAATTATTCTTATATAGGTCTATATTTTTTGCCGTTAATTCAATTCCAAGGTATTTTGTTTTTTTAACTACTTCACATTGTACCAGTTCTTGTAGTTCCACTTGTTTTTGTTTGATCATGTTTTTACATATAAGTTTTGTTTTATTCTTATTTACGTAAAAGCCGGCCAATTCTCCAAACTCCTTTATTTTTTGAAAAAGCAATGTCAATTTTTCTGTTGGGTTTTCCACCATAAACATTACATCGTCTGCAAATGCTCGATATTTGTATTGGTGTCCTTTATGTGTCAAGCCCTTTATTTCTTGATCGTACTGTATTTTTTGTAAAAGTATTTCCAATACCCAGATAAATAATAACGGTGATAACGGACAACCTTGCCTTGTTCCTTTCTGTACTTTGAAGTTATCTGTCAGTTCTTTATTCACATTTATTTTAGCTCTTTGTTCAGAATAGATAGCTTCAATACAATTTCTAAAATGTTGTCCCGCTTCAATCTTTTCCATCATCTGGTGCATAAAATTCCAATTAAGATTGTCAAAAGCTTTTTCTGCATCAACAAACAGAAAAGCTACTTCTTTTTCTGGGTGCTTTTCATAATATTCAATTGCGTCCATTACTATTCTTACATTGTCTCTAATCTGCCTTTTGGGTAAAAAGCCCGCTTGATCTTCAGAAATTACCGTTTGTAAATAGTTTTTCACCCTTTCTGCAATAATTTTTGCAAAGATTTTATAATCGTTGTTCAAAAGAGATATTGGCCTGTAGTTCTTTACATTTGTTGAATCTTGTCCTTCCTTTGGAATCAAAGAAATAATTGCTTCTTTCCATGAGTCCGGCACCTTTTTGTTTTCTCTTATTTCGTTGGTTAAAGCTTCCAGGACCGGGGAAATTTCTTCTTTCATCTTTTTGTAGAATTTCGCTGTAAATCCGTCCGGCCCAGGCGCCTTCCCCAACTTTGTCTCTTCTATTGCCTTCATCACTTCTTCTTTTTGAATTGGACCATTTAATAAATCTTTGTATTCCTTACTTATTTTTGGTAGTGGAATCTCCTTTAAATATGTTTTAATCTTCTCAAGATCAACTCTAGTTGTTTGGAATAGTTTAGCATAATACTTGAAGAAACATCTCTTTATTCCATTAGGATCAACGAACTCTTTTCCATCTTCTATTATTTTGGTTATCATTCTTCTCTCTCTTCTAGCCTTAAGTTGCCAAGCTAAGTATTTTCCCGGTTTGTTCGCCCCTTCAAAAGATTTCTGTTGTAACTTCTTTAAATTCCAATACATTTCCTGATTCCAAGTCTCATTCAGTTGTTCCTTCAGCAACTTTAATTCTTTAATAATTTGCTTTTTTCCAGGCTTCTTTTTTAATTCCTTTTCTTTCTGAGCAATTTTTTCTAACACTTCTGTTTGTTTTTGAAGTTTTTCCTTTTTTTGCTTCACGTTTTGCGAGATGAGAATTCCTCTCATCACCGCTTTATAAGCATCCCATACAATCTGTATCGGTGTTTCTTTATTTAAATTTTGTTGAAAGAATTGTTTCGTTTCTTCCTTTAACATCTCAATTACTGTTTTCTTATCCAACAAGTCTTCATTAATCCTCCACAGAAAGGGTTTTTTCCTTTCTGTGGAACTCCATACCACCGGATTGTGATCTGAATTACATCTTGGCAAAATTTCAGTCTTATGTGTTTTCATTGATAATTCTTCAGACATCCAAATCATATCAATTCTGGAAAAAGAGCAATGTCTATTGGAATAAAAAGTAAAGTCTTTCTGCATCGGGTTCCATTTCCTCCAAACATCTTCTAATTTTTCTTGCTTAACTAATTCAAAAAAATTCTTTGGCAGTTTTCCGCTGAATTCGTTGTCCTTTTGTGGTTTTCTGTCTACACGATCTATTGTCCCATTAAAGTCTCCGGCCATAATAACTTGCTCATAAGTCAATTGTTGTAATTGGTCAGTTATATCCTTAAAAAATTTTTCCTTTGCTCCATTGGGTGCGTACACGTTGATCAACAATGTTTTTTTCTGCTGAATCATTAATTCCACACCCACGTATCTGCCATCTATGTCCTTAAAAATTTCTGTAGGTTGTAACTCCTTCTTCACATATGTCACAACTCCTTTTTTCTTGTTTGAGGCCGCAGAACAAAATTCAATTCCAAATAAAGCATTCTTTAAATATTTTATATCCTGTTTTCTAATATGTGTTTCTTGCAAGCATATCACGTTGCATTTCTGTTTCTGTATCCAATGATTGATTCTTTTCCTCTTGTTTGGTGAATTTAATCCATTAACATTCCATGACAACAATTTGTACTCCATTATGCGTTTTATTTTAAAGTTCTCCAAAGACGTCCGCATTGTCCGCCTTAAATTTATAAAAGTCCATCATCGATCTGATCTGAATCCTCCCACCTTGATACGTAAAGGATAAACCTTGTGGAATCTCCCATCTATATCTGATGCTCAAAGCTCTGAGTTTGTCAGCCAAGGATTTATACCTTTTCCTGTCTTGCAGTATTGTTCTTGGGAGTTCTCTCATCACCATAATTTTGTTTCCCTCTATTTCAAAAGGGACGGTGAATTGCTTCTTGAATATCTCCTCTGTTATTGATCTTGTTACAAATTGTACAATTACATCCCTTGGTAAATTCTTCTTTTCTGCAATTCTGGAGTTCACTCTATAAATCAAATCAAAGTCTGAGTCCATTGACCCTTCCTCCTCGCCCAAAAAGGCCGTTATCACTTCCATCATTTTTTCTTTTAAGTTCTCATTCTCTGTTTCCTTAATGCCTCTGAATCTCAGATGAGTCTGCATCCTTCTGAACTCCATCATTGTCTCTGATCTTGTAATTTGTTGAGTCAAAGAATCTTGTTTCTCTTCTATTTTTTGTATCTTCTCCTCTGTCTCTGTAGTCTTGGTTGCATTTGCTTGAACATCCTTCTTAACTCCTTCCATTTCTTGCTTGATTGAAGTTATTTCTGTAGTAACCAGTTCCTTCAATGCTGTTATGTTCTTCTCTTGGACTTCTTCTAGATGTTTCAGATGAATCTGAGTTTGCTTCTCCAGTTGGTCCCCCAATGTTTTTTCTATCTGCTCCCCCATGGCTTGTATTGCCTCTGTCATTCTCTTCTCCATTGCTTCCATGGAGGCCTGCATCTCTTTTTTCTCTCTTCCCCTTGACATTTTGGGGGCTGAAGTAGATCCAATCCTAGGTCTCACAACCGGTTTAAGTTCTGGGTCTGAGTCGGCTCTTTTCTTGCCTCTCCTGGTCTCCGTCTTGGCGATTTCTTTTCAATTCACAGATTCGCAAGATAAAGCACTCTTCTAGATGATAAGATTTAGTCCTCCATGCCTCTCTGTTTACGCTTTCCAAAGACCCTTAGAAATATATTAAAAAAGCAAATTTAGTTGAAGTCCTCCTCAAAATGTCGGGCGCAACTTCTCTATGGTAATTTCATGTAGAGTAGGTCAGATTGGTATTTTGCAGGCCCTTCCTTCCGCATAAAACTCACTTCCGGTCCGGCACCTTTAAAAGTTCCACTGTCTTCCTTTCGCTAATGCCCGTCTAGGAATTCAACTTCCTGGATGTTTCACACGGACCTCTTTCTTTGTGACACCAGCCTGCTCTTCCCACGCTATTGTTCGTGAGTTTCGATTTT